AACTTCAACTGTCAAACCAAAAACACGTCGATAATTAACTTTTCTGTAATGATGCGAAATGCACCGTTACAATATACACAAATATAATAATTGAGATAGTACTTAGATACATTATGTGTAATAATTATATATATATTGTAGGGATAAGTAAAATAATATTCTATTGAAAAAGTAATTAATAACATAATAATGACATAATTAATAACTTGACAACAAATATTTTATATGTATACGTAGGGCATGCTGAAAGTCTCTGGACCGGGCCACTAACAATAAAAGAATGAAATTTGCGAGACTGTCGTTTGTTTTTTCATTGTGACGTCCTTTCGAAAATTGTGTCGCTATCAGAATGATTTTTTTTATGATTTTCGTTGTGGCTTAAGGGAACAAGAAAGTTGCCTGAGACTTCAATTGGCAATTTTGTGATGAAGCACCATGTCACTCTGTGTATTCGTGGTTTGGAGAATTACGTGAATGTGGTCATCTCCATGACGAGGTACGTTAAGGTTGGCCGGCGACTGCGGTTACAGACTCTAATATTGACACTGTACAACAACTTAATGAAACTGACAAAAAAATTACTTGCCCGCAAATTCTTGCTTTGTTAGGCATTGGAATGAGCCAAGAGCAAAACATTTTACATGTGCATCTGAATGTTCGGAAGCTGTGCACTAGATGAATGCCTGGTCTTTATTTTTGAAGATTTGTGAAGAAAGTAAATAAAAGCCGAAGCATTAGTAAAAAATGTTTGCTTCTTTTTTCGACAAATCAGTACATTACACTACATCGTCACTTGAAGATCAAAGGACAGTGACTTGAGATTGGTATGTCAATACTTCCTTGCCCAGAGGCTTCAAAAAAAAAACCGCAAAAAGCGTCCTCGAAGCAATGTCCTCCTACACCACGATAACACATCCTTACATTCCGCTAAGATAACAGAAGCCTGTTTGAAAGCTTCTAATGTGGCATGGCAGGAATTGATGACGCATCTGCCTTACAGCCCAGAATTTAGGGGCACATGTTTCACGAGCCCTGAATTGGCAGTAAAAGCGTTCCATTAAGCCATTGAAGAGGTCCCTAAAGATGACTGGTCCAATTGCTTTGTAGAGTTGTTTAAAGAAATTCAATTAATGCATTAATTTTTTTGTTCTTTTTTTTAAAAAAAAAAGACTACTCCCGCATTAGGAATACATTGTGTGCGTTACCCCAGCAAAATAATGTCGAAAATGGTCATTTTAACTTTATAGATAATTAGTTGCTCTCCTTCTGTAATTGTTAGGCACATTTTTAAATTTGTTTCACTTAAACTTTTTTAGTTATTTCAAAAAAACATTTCCTGCTGGAGTAACGTTTGAAACGTTACCGCAGCCAGACATTTTCTTTTTTTATTGTAATATTGAAATAAATTTTAGCTAGATAATTAGTTATCTGGACTAGGTAAATGTTACAACTTATTTGGTATTTGTATTTTCTTCGGCTGCGAAGTTATTCAAAATCCTGCTGGAGTAACGTTTGTGGGTTTGCTGGATCTCTGAAACGGGTAAGCGGATTGTAACCATCTTTTGTACATAACTTCTTAAGGGTTAGTTTTAATTTGTTCGACAATAAAATAACAAAAATAATGGACCGTTTAAAAATTATTTAGGTAAGTATGAAAACACTTCAATACATCCTAACACTTTAAATAAGACCTCTAAAGACTTACTTCAAACGTTATTCTATTGCTTGTAACTACCTTCAAATGTATACGAATTTTCGTAAGAATACTGTAAGTGACTAAAAAGTTATGATGAAATGTAGCTCTCCACGTTCACGGTCACAATGTGTGCGGCCTTTTTTGGCCACCGATAAACCTGTGTGTGGATATATAAACTGAATGTTATTCCAATAATTAGTTGTTTAGTTCAGTTGTCTACCTGTAGAATTTCAGCGTCGTACATATAATAATTTACGAGATAATTAAATAAAAGTCATTAGAAGGTGCAAGTCCGTGGTAATCCGACCATGTTTAGGTGGTTACAAAAAAGCGATCACCCAGTACATTGTGCTGGCTTTTAAAATATGTAGGATATTATTTGTAAGTTTACTACGGATATGTACATAAGTGTTACAAAAAACTACATGTTTTTAAATAATTTTTATTTAGGATTGTTTATTGCATAATTAGTAATCAGCCGGGAGATTAGGTATTGTTTTGAATGCTTTTGTTTTCTCGTAATGTTTAGGTGAATTGTTTATAGTTGTTCATAGAATTGGTACTTGCGTAGTATTTGTTATTTGAAGTTTAATTTTAGGGTAGGTATATGATGGGGATTTTTTTAAGTGATGAATCGACTTAGGCTAGCATATCGCGAACAAACTCTGTATTGCAATATTTCTGTAATAATGTTGGAGAAAATAAAATATTTGATCACAAAATCGCGGTGAGTTAAATTATAACAAAATAAATTATTTATGTAAAATTAGTAATAAGTGATATACCTACCTACAAGTTATGATCGTTTTTAATTTGTTCACCCTGAACAAAATTTAAATATTAGCATTAGTAATTAATATCCTAAGACAAGAATTGACAATTACTTAAATTGAATCGAATTAGCATTAATGCCCATTATTAGTAATTAGGTACACACATATTGAAGAACTCTCAAGAATACGATAAATATTTGCAAAAATAGAAAGCGGAAGCGCACACGTACTTTACAACACGTATATTATCTGCCTAAGAATCAAGTTTAGTGCACTAGATGCAAATTGCAAACAATAAAGTATCCCTTCGCCCCTCCCCTCCCGCGTTCTAGCGAAGGATGTATTATCAGCGATTCTTGATTGACAAATATTATATGACCAATAATTTTATCTATAAAAATGTATCACTTTCACTCGATAAATTAAATTACCGTTATTATATCAAAATATCATTCAACAACCGCTCGTTTTTAACAGAAATCAACAGTCACGGGCTCAACGCTTAACGGTAGGTACATAGGTATAGATAATTCTCGGTTCACGGTATAGACCACAGAACAATATTACCTACTCTTACGAGGTATACGACTGTTGGGCGATGCAATGTTGATGCATTCAAATTTACAACTGTATTCTTCTACTATTATGGTCTATTTTAACTAATTCTAGATGACTTGTTTCTTTAAATATTTTGATGCATTTAAGTCTAAGTATACCTCAAAATAAAATACAATTACTTCAGTGTTATTTCTTTACAAAAAAATTTAAAGAAATGAAACGATTTCTTAATGGTTTAAATTTTCGATTTATTGCAGTCAGGTGAATCGTTCATACATGTATCTACATATTTATAATTTTAGCGGGCCAGTGCAGATTTTCTGTTGATTGCAGCTCCGGTAGTTAAACAGACTAAAGAAATTTTAAGTAAAGAAACTAGTGCTTAAGATCAATTAGGAAAAAAGAACAAAATAAATAATAGGTAATAATAATGAATAAATATTGAATGTATTTAACACTGTACGCAACTGTACCGAAATCGTAAGGTGTATTACACTTAACATTTTAAAAGACAGCGCAATGTACTGGGTGATCGCTTTTTTGTAACCACCTAAACATGGTCGGGTTACCACGGACTTGCACCTTCTAATGACTTTTATTTAACTATCTCGTAAATTATTATATGTACGATGCCGAAATTTTACAGGTAGACAACTGAACTAAACAACTAATTGTTGGCATAACATTCAGTTTATATATCCACACACAGGTTTATCGGTGGCCAAAAAAGGCCGCACACATTGTGATCGTGAACGTGGAGAGCTACATTTCATCATAACTTTTTAGTCACTTATAGTATTCTTACGAAAATTCGTATACATTTGAAGGTAGTTACAAGCAATAGAATAACGTTTGAAGTAAGTCTTTAGAGGTCTTATTTAAAGTGTTAGGACGTATTGAAGTGTTTTCATACTTACCTAAATAATTTTTAAACGGTCCATTATTTTTGTTATTTTATTGTCGAACAAATTTAAACTAATCCTTAAGAAGTTATGTACAAAAGATGGTTACAATCCGCTTACCCGTTTCAGAGATCCAGCAAACCCACAAACGTTACTCCAGCAGGATTTCGAATAACTTCGCAGCCGAAGAAAATACAAATACCAAATAAGTTGTAACATTTACCTAGTCCAGATAACTAATTATCTAGCTAAAATTTATTTCAATATTACAATTAAAAAAGAAAATGTCTGGCTGCGGTAACGTTTCAAACGTTACCCCAGCAGGAAATGTTTTTTTTAAATAACTAAAAAAGTTTAAGAGAAACAAATTTAAAAATGTGCCTAACAATTACAGAAGGGGAGCAACTAATTATCTATAACGTTTAAATGACCATTTTCGACATTATTTTGCTGGGGTAACGCACACGAATACATTCCTGTGTCGCAGGGGACTTTATACAATTGTGAGGGAATATTATGCTTTAAAAAACAATAAATGTATAGTAAGTTTTATTTATCAGAATCCATAAATTTTCAGTATGCCATAAGTATATTACATATAGAGATATTTTGCACAAAAATGTATTGTACTTAGGTTGTACATATACATGTACAATGTTAGTACATGTATGTGTAAAATATCAAATTTGGCAATACAGTGTGTAAATTTCTGAACATATTTTTTTTTATTTTATTAGAAATAGTTTTCGAATAAAATCATACAGTATTGAATAGGTGAGAAGTAATGTGTGACATTTATGATTCACTACAACACTCAGGTTTTAGATACATCTATGTATAATTATTTACTTTTCTATTTACATGAAATGGGAATTTAAATTTACAACCACCATTACACTTTGTGTATTTGTGTATTTGTAATTACACTTTGTGTATTTGTAATAAATATATATATATATATATTACATGAGTTCTTAATGTCTACACTTATATCTATTGCCAAACATCTCGCCAATATTGAAACAAGACAAATAGAAAACAAATTTTATAAAGACCAATGGCAAACAATATTCATCTCTCCATTTTACCAATTTTGATGGAAAACGAACACTCATCACAGCCTATAACAATATCTGATGTTACAGAAACACTGGCACTCAACAAATAAGTACCACCACATCTACACGGATATGAGTAAACACCTTCACTAGACTCTAAATTCATATCAGATAAAGAAATTGTATCATAAAGTAAACACTCACTGTGCTCATGACAGGTAAGTTCTGCATCATATTGTTTCCGACTTAAAGGGTCTTTCAAAACAGTCCATGCCTTCTGGATGAGGAGAAAACCTTGGTCATTATCATTTTGAACCTTATCGGGATGTGCTAATAATACTAGTCGTTTATAACACCTTTTAATTTCCTCGTCAGTGGCCGCTCTTTCGCATTCCAGGACTCTGTAGTAGTCAACAAAACATTCCCGTTTCTCCATTCTTCAGGTAATTATATATTGTACATTATAAAGTAATAAGGTTGTCTGTAACAGATCAACGTGAGCGATAAGACCGCCGATTGTTACGTCTATATATTTGTAATGTCTTATATGTTCACTGATAACAATAAAGATATAAATAAATAAATAATAATAAATAAATAATAATAAATAATATGGGAGCTTATTTATTCGTTTTCTTCAATTTGTGGTAATACTTGTTTAACCCGACCCACGAGAATAAATTAAGAAGCAATCATACAATGATAGCCAAATATTAATAAATGGCATTAATCAAAGAAGGGACGTACTTGGTAATTAGTACAATATATTATAATTGTGCACGGATGGCGTAGTGGTTTAACGCCACGGCGGTCACTACTTCGCTGAGTGTTGTGGGTCTGATCCCCACATGGGACGACACTTTGTGTGATCCACAAATTGTTGTTCTGAGTCTGGGTGTTGTTTGTGTCCCGTTTCATGAATGTTTGCAAAGTCCCCCGCGACACAGGATATATTCCTAATGCGGGAGTTGTCTTTTTAAAAAAGAAAAAAGAAAAGAATATTATAATGATATTCTGTGTGAGGAACAAAAATTAAAAACGTGAATTTCTGACATTTCACATAAGTTACATTCCATTCATAGATAATTTCACAGAGTACAGTAATACCACAGATTTATGAAGTACAGTGCCACCAACTTATCTGTTCAGTAGACAAAATCGGAACTAAATCTGCGTCAACTGCGTGTCAGTTTACAAGGTGTGGGTGCTCTCTGTGTTTATCATTTGATTTTATTATTAAAACTACAATTAAAATGCCGAAAGCTTTTAAAAGTGATGCTAGAGTTATTATTTTAAAAGTTTTATCTTTTATGAACGAAGAAAAACGCCTCCAATTTCCAAAAATACCATTTGAAAAAGTGCCACAACGTGTTGCTGCCGCTACAGGTTAGTGTTATAGTCTAAGGACAGTAAAATTTCCCACTTAAATTATTTTATTATTTATTATTTTAATATTCAGCTTATGTTTCATATTTTATTGTCTATATATATCCACTGAAAATTAGAAATAAAACTGATACGTCGCCCCCACTACTACTAACTAGTGCACCATTTTACTATTCTTTATTTTCATAAACGGTAAACGTATACCTACATTGTGTTTTCTGTTTATTTCACCCGAATAAATAAAAAAAATAACATTATTTCTTAGGTTTGATGAGCCACTTTTTGTTACAGGTGTTAGTAAGCGATTTGTTTATAAATTAATGAATGAAGAAAAACGAGCTGAAGAAACTAATACTAAAATATGTACACCTGGTAAAAACAGGGAAAGGAAAACACGGAAACTAGAAGTTGATGACTTTGATATTGGTGTGATTAGGAGAAAAACCCATGAATTTTATTCAGTAAAAAAAGAAATTCCTTCTGTAACCAAGCTATTGAATATTTTAAGAGAAGATATCAATTTCCAGGGGAAACTTATATCACGACACGATAGTTTGGTATAATAAATCGTATTATCTGTTTGCAAAACAAAATATTTCTTTCTTTTCAACTAATTTATAAATTATATAGTTATGATATTTAAACATTAATTAATAAACTCCGATCAATATTTAAAATTACAGCTCACGTGATTTCGTATGTTTCAAATACCCTAAACTCCTGATAATTTTTTTTAAATAGCAACACCTATCGCTCCAGTAGCGACGCCGTCTACTGAACAGATAAGTTGGTGGAACTATACCTACCGTTTGACGTTTCATACTTTTCAAGACGAAACTACTTTAATACATATGATTTCAATAACCTTTAAAATTATGAAGCTATTTTTATTTTATGACAAAATGTACAATTCTTAATGGATAAATTTAAATACTTTAAACAAAGCAAAATAATCAAAGGTACATACAATAGACAGCCTTTTTTTTACTTCGTTTCAAAGTCATGTAATCAGGTCCTTTACCGTAGCGTTGTGACTCGTCAAACTTGTATACAAATAATTAAATTTATTAATAACGAGCCGTTTTAATCCAGGCGTCTTTTAGCGTTTAATAATATTTAAATTTCCGTTGTAAAGAGAAGGAAAACTTGACACAAACCAACCCGTCGGGCCAGCGTGCTATAGTAGGCCAAAACCTTATTTGTAATGAGAGGCCTATGCCCACCATTAATAGTCCACTGCTGGAAATAGGGCACTCCTTAGAACGGAGGTTTGGCCTACTATACCACGCTAGCCAGACGGGTTGGTATTGGGTTTGTTTCAAGTTTTCCTTCTCTTTGCAGTGCTGTTGTCCTGCGTAGTTCGCTCCCTTAGTCGGCTCTTCCGACACCCACGGCATGAATAGGGGTGGTAACACTTCGTATTCTTAATCCATCACCACACGGATACTTGTATTTATTGTAAATTGCCGTCAGTTATGTTCTGGCTCTATATGAAGATGTCTCGATTAATCTAAATCAATGTTTTAATGCTCGATTAATTGAGATTCGTTTTTATGATGTTCTATTTGAATCGAATAAGAGATTGTCTTTTTTTTTGTGAATCGATTTGCTGAAGTGAAATGAAAATGAAAGACAGGGTTGCTGTTATAGCTCGTTGGTAGGTCCATGAACAAAAAAACTACATTTCTGTAATCAACCACCTAATCAGACTGTTTGTTGTTTAATTAAATATTATGTTATTCGAAATTCTATTTATTTTATCATTTGAAATAATACTTTTATTTTAACGATTACATAATGATGTAATTTCAGTTAATTTTAAATAATTGATACTGCAGTAGTTTTATTTTTAGTTTTAATTGCACTTATAAATTTCTATAAAATACTGAGTATGTGATTTAAATATTTTATGACGAATTGGTTAACACTATTCTATTATTTCACTTTAAACCAAAGGGATGCTGTTGCACTTTAGCGGGCTAAAGACAGAATAAATGAATATTAACCTCTCCTCGAAGATAAACCTTACTTTTTCGGCTAATCTTAAGTTTATCTTCACACCTTCCTCTAGCCGTAACATACCCATATAAATATATACAGCGTGAAATCGAAGTTGCCGTCCAAATTTTTTTTAGGCACTAGACATGATTTAAGGAGCCCCATTTTTGCAAATAAAAATGGTAGGTCAAATTTTCAACATAAAATATTTCATCCCGAAGAAAACATATAAAACGTAAACAGTGAGAGAAATAATGCATCGGGGGACGCGGTGTGGCGGGGTAAGGCGTGTGCGAAGGCCCATACCGTTGCATCGAGGAGTGAGACAAGGCGAAATTGTTGTGGTTCCCCGGCTACTGGTACCCGAGACGGCTTGCGGTTTTTAGTCGGTTCGAGTCCGACATAGAAACAGGTAAGTGGTATCCGAGGGGATTTCCGCACATAAAAAAAAGAGGAAATTGTTCACAAATGCAATGGAGGACATGTTCAAGACGCTATACTGGAAAGGACGTGGCATGAATATCAATGGCGAACACTTTTGGATTGCGATTTGCGGACGACATCATCATTATGGCAGCTCTGTTGGCTCTTCGCTCTTAGGAGCATTAAGGAGAAAAAACCTCGATAAAAAATCACGAAGACGTGACCCTTTCACGGGTCGGAGTTTCTCCACTATCATCGGTGGAGAAAAGAGGACGGGCTCGGCGTGTACTTACACTGCCACCGAGCAGGCATTAGGAGACGTTATCTTCCTACCGCAGTCGGCATATCGTAATCCCGAAAGGAGTGTCGTGGTTATGTCTCGCGACTCCGATCGGGAGCGAGGGTCTTGGCTTAGCCGCCCGGACTGCGAGGAAAAAAACCTCTTTTGAAAATTACCCCGAATCCCGTGTTCTGGTGCGTGGCAGGGGATGCATGGCTGATGGGCAGTTCAGTCGCAAGCGCACTCCCATCCGAGGCACATGCGAATCCTTCGGTTGGGCATAAATTTACGCTTGCCCGGGTATTGGGGGATCTCTGCCGGGTTAACCTTTATTTCTCCCCCACTGGTGGGATCAGCTATGGTATCTAATTATATTATAAACAAACAAACAAGAAAGGTAGCAAAGGAGATGAGTGGGAGGGCGGATGACTTCTCGTCTAACGAGGAGTAACTGTTGCTCGAGACGCCTATCACACAACAGCTCCCAGAAGTCAGTCTGACTCCGAAGACATTCGAAGCCCAAGCCGAAGAACATCGTCTGCGTTCCAGATCCACCATTTCGACGGACGGTGGTCACTCCAGTGCGATAACTGACCACTGGAGCTAATGTAAGTGGAGATCCACGATAGTCGCATACGCGGGCGTTCCATGAATGAGAATGGCGACACGTCTCAGGAGTTGGTGCCTCCCAAAGTGGCTAGTAGCAGCAGAGGGAGGTCGCGCACTCCGATCTCGGGACCTTCAGGCCCCGTCTCTTCCAAGGCGGCAGCCTATAGGAGAATCAGCGTTGAGGGCGAAAATGTAGTGAAGGAGGAGATCGCGGATCATCGCCCAGAATAGGGCACGCCTCTGGCGCCCTGAGACTATATTGGCGTTTAAAGCCATACGCGGTTACCGCACCGTGTCGACGGAGCCGGCGTGCGCATTGGCCGGAACTCCCCCGTGGGATTTAGAGGCGGAAGTGCTCGCCGAAGTACATCGGCGGACGGCTGAGTTCCCGAAGAGGTACGCGAGTGGCGTGCGACCGCCCGCCAAGCCACGTTGGCTCGTTGGTCATCCTGGTTGGGGGCTCCACGTGCTGACTTTGCAGTCGCGGAGGCGCTCCAGCTGGTCATCGTCGAATGGTCAGGGCGGCAGTAGGCGACCCTTTTCTTCAGGTTCCTTCCGGGTATGACTGCTTTGGGAAATACCTGCACTCGCTAGGAGGGAATTGAGTCCCGCCTGTCACCACTGCGATGAACCCACCATGGTGATGATGTCACCAGTGAACGGAACGGGTTTTCTCCTCCATCCGCTATAGTGGCCATCCGTATCCATCCGCGTGTGCTGGACGTTCGCCTAAATCGAGA